GCCGGGTAAAGAAAAAAATTGATAAAGCTGAATCCACTGAGAAGAATGAGTAAGTAACTCAAGGAATTGCACTTTGTTAATAAATATTTATTGACATTTATAATTTACTACATCATATCATATTGCTCATCGTGTATAACAAATGCATAATGGTACAGTATAGTTTAGAATGTCTAAGAACCGATTAACTCTAGTGTATATAATTCTTCCGCTTCAATTTTGTTCTAATGCTACGACTCTCTGACATACCGTTTCTCAGCGGAGGTCGTGGGTTCGAATACCGGCTCGCACCTTTGAGTTTTTGGAATTTGTATGCGAAATTGAAATTGAAATTTACTATGAGCCTTTCGGTGAAGGAAAACATTGTGATGAAACCTCGAAGAAGAAGAAGAAGGTTGACAACCCTCGGAAAACGTGTGAAGTCGTGGCCTAAAGCCTCGCCCGAGAGGAGATCCGTGTCCAGCAATCGGACGTACGTACCATCATCAGACCATTTGTTCTTTTACCATAATAATTGTTTACTTCTATGTTCTGGACATACAAATTTATTCTTCTATAGTCTGTCTTTTTTTGGTACTGTTTTTTTCTATTGGAAAAGGCAAAGGCACTAATGCGCCATACAGCCATGACTGAGAGTAATTTCTTTCTTGGATTCATTGACTTACAAAATAAATGGACGACGGGTCTAATACAAAAACCACGAAAAAAATGTCCCAAATCAACCTATTCGAAATTTAAATTGTAATGTCATCGCAGTATCGCGCTGTCAGTCGAACAAATGAAGACTAAAGCGGAGTTTGGCGCTCTGTATACGATTTTAGCGCCTTACAAGTGCGGACACTTTTTAGCGCGGACCCGACGTCCATATAATTGTAAGTCAATGCTTGGATTCCATTACAAAAATTAAATGTCTTCGATAGTGCTTCTTGCACTCCAACCAATCCTTGCATTATATATTTTTCGATTGCTCACATTTTTCTATCGCTAGAGTAATCGTCATCGATAATCTTCTTGAACTGTACAAAACCTCTGAAAACATTCCGTTTTCTTTAACAGATCGCCTGAAAAATCAACAATGTTACCCAATTTTATATCATTTCGTAAGTCTGTCTTTTTTGAAGACGGAGTAAAATCAAAGAGAATTTAAGCACTACGTTTAGAGTAAAATGACAGTTCATTGTGCAAAAGTGTTGCCCGCTTGCGAGCAGCTAACGATTGTAGTCGATAAATATTCCATCGACTATCGATTGAGTATTGGTCACGCTCATGTAATATTTTCCTGCAATTTGAATGGGACTACCGATGAGGTAGGTACCTCCTTTCCGACAAAAAAGAAGCACCAAAATCGGTTCACAAATATCGTAGTGATCACGTAACACACAAAAAACGTAACACACACAAAACAATACGGTCAAATTGAGAATATGGTGCCGGTGAAATTACAGGTACATGGAACTTGTCAGTATGCAGTGGCTGTGCAACTGCTATGGACAGGCGTGCCACTTACCAATGGGTGAGCAAATTGTTCGACCCGTCACATGGTCTCATAAAAAAATTTGAGCCTAATGCATTGACTTACAAATAAATGGACGACGAGTCTAATACACAAACCACGAAAAAAATGTCCCAAGTCAACCTATTTAAACGTAGTGACATGTAAAGGAATATGAAAAAGCTAAAACGTTGAATTTAAATTGTAATGTCATCGCAGTACTGTCTAATTTTGCTTGCTTCGCTGTCAGTCGAACAAACGAAGACTAAAGCGTGAATGACGCTCTGTATACGATTTTAACGCCCTATAAGTTCGGACACTTTTTAGCGCGGACCCGACGTCCATATAATTGTAAGTCAATGGCCTAATGATATTAAACCGTCCTTTTTACCCAGGCGATACTTAAAACATTGTATGTAAAAAAAAGAGACTCATACCAAAATCAGAAATTTTATATATTCTACAGAACCACATTGCATAAAAAGAGAAAAACGCACTACAACATTATGCCGTAGAAAATACACTTCAGTATAATAAGAAACTTTAGAGGCAGGTTCCCTTAAAGTATATTTTCACTTTCCCTTTAGGCACGAGTACGGCCCGCGATACTACGTCTAGGCAATTTGAGAAAGTACTTAAATCAAGAGAAATGTGTTTACAATATATCAACCTACATCTCCCGCTGCTGGGCACTGGTTCTTTAATAATGATAGGTCAGATTCGCTCTGGACCTTTTGGAGGGAAAAGTTTCGTTTTTATTTTGACTTTCAATTATTTTGTGAAATCTAGTTTAAAGTGGAATAGAATAGTGCTATTGTGCCTTAATCGAAGATTAAAACGCGAAATTATACGAATCTCGAACTAGAATACCCGTATCGGCCCGTTTTAAGGAATCCTGAGTCAATCCAAGCACGCCACCTCAAATTGCCTATCCTCTTTGTGGCGGCCATATTTACAGAAACATAATTAAACTTCATGTTTAGGCTGATGGCTTTGCCAAAGCCTTAATAAAAAAAAATAATAAAATACGGAGAGGAGACTGGTATCATGACTGCGGCATCACAGTACATTTACTCAAATATTTTGTATGCCCATAAAAATATACATAATTTCGTTAATAAAGAATATATCCATAATGTAAACCTTAAAACTAAATCATAACTCATGGTACCACGATTTCATTTAGCTAAGGTAAACGACTCTTTTATGGGGAACTGTATACTTTTTTAGAATAAGATTCCGGAGCATATATTAAGCTTATCTTTTCCTAAGTTTAAAAACTACATTAAAAGTATTTTGATCGAAAAATCATATTACAAAATTGAAGACTACGTGTTAGATAAAGATGTATGGAAAGACGACACGGCTTCAGAATCCACACAAATGTGATTCAAAGTGTATTCCATAGCATTTAAGTTTATTTGAAAAGAGCAATCCCTAGAGTTTCTTGCTCGTTCTTCTCATGGAGGTCGGCGTAGCGAACAAGCAATAGCTTAAATGAGACGTTTTCAAGTGTAAATGTATTTTACCTATGGAATAAATAATCTTTGACTTTGATTTATGCCACTCCTCCGTGACAGCTCTCAAAATATTCTCCGTTATCGTTAATGCACTTTTTCATACGAATGAACCTATTTTGAAAACATTTATGCCACTCCTCCACCGTGGCAATCTCTGAAACATATTTTTCATACTCTTCGACAGCCTCTTTAGGTGATAAAAATCGTTGACCGCTGGTTCTTAATTTTTGGAAATAAATAAAAGTCACAAGGTGCCAGGTCGGGACTGTACCCGGGAAGGCTCATAAGGTCAACGTTGTTCACCTTCAAAAATTCATTTGTCCGTCTAGCCTTGTGAGAACTGGTATTATCGTGGTGCAAGATGATACGGCGTTTACGGTTATTTTTACGGAGTTTGTCAATAACTACCGGCAAACAAATGGTCGTGTACCAATCACTTTTCATGGTACAATGATTCTTTAAAGCAACAGTAGCCAAGTGTCCAGTTTTATTAAAAAAAAGAAGCAATCATCCGCTTAGAGGCGCTTTGCACGCGCGCCACTTTGGTTGGTTTCGGCTTATCTCGAAAGACCCATACGCTCGATTGCTGCTTTGTTGTGGGATCGTAACCATAAACCCATGTTTCGTCACCTGTTACTATGTCCCACACCAAATTTGATACCCCTTCGTTGAATTTGGTAAGCATGGCATTGCACCAAGTGACACGATCCGTTTTTTGAGCTTCAGTCAAATTGTGTGGGATCCACCGAGAGCACAGCTTTTTCAGACCCAAATGTTTGTGTAATATTGATTGTATTTGACTCATGCCTATGCCTAAAGATGCCCAAATCTCATGGTATGTCACATGTCTGTCTGTTTTGATCATACGGCGCACAGCATCGATGTTTTTGTTGTTCACCGCAGTGGACGGGCGACCATCACTAAATTCGTCACTGAGATTCACACGACCGCGTTTGAATTCTGGAAACCAGCTATAAATAATTGTCTTGCAAGGTGCTTCATCGCCAAAAGCAGTTTGAAGCCGAGTGAAGCTTCGCTGAGCAGTTAAATTACACTTAAAGTCGTGGAAAATCATACTACGAACATTTTCACGAGTTAAATCGATGGTGATGTAGACAACCAATTTCTAAAATGACGTCACAATGTAAAAACCAATGACAGTCAGATGAAACAAACTGTATTCTACAGCCAAAGAGTTCCATTTTCAAAAAACTGCGAACGTTGGCTGAACGGTTACCATGCCGGACTGCCATGCAGATGTCCAGGTTCGTTTCCCGGGTCGGGAGAAATATTTGTATGGCTTACATTTATTTCTCTCGTGAGTTTGGGTGTAATTTGTGGTTGTCTACGTGTGTGTCCATGGCACCCGCGACACAGGGTTTCCCTAGTGCGGGGCTATGTTGAGTGTGTACGTTATTATTATTATTATAAAAATGTTGTAATTACTTTTTAAATATTGTTTATATAAACTTATAGCGCGCCCAATGTATTAAGATTACCATTTCCTAAGTTTAAAA